ATCAACCCATTCCTTGATTTGTTCTTTGCTCAATTGATTACACCTTACCACAACAGGTCCAACAAGACTATTGTGAAAGCAATGGATAAACAAATTATCATCATTAAAATATCATTCCATCTTCCTGCAGAAAATCTTCAAATGGATCAGAGGACAACTGGAACCATTATATTTCTCAAAATCAAGCACCCTAAATTCTTATGGGATGACCAAATGAGGGACTAAACTAAGCTCTCTCACATCTAGATTCCTTGCTTTAATTGATTCCTTTAACTGATTAAATTTATATTTGATTTGCTCGGGATTAGTGAGATTGTTTCCTTCATTCACATAAGATACCCTTGGATAGGTTGCTAGTCTTGATGTGTCGAGATGATAACATTGATATCCCTCAACATGCGCTTCCTCCCTATTAACAACTCTTATGGCCAACACTTGGGTCATTTGACTCAATATTTCTTGTTGTGAATTCAATGCTCGATTTCTCATGTCCTGTTGTAATACGGTCAGCTATCTCTCAATCGGTTTCAGTACATCTTAAAAGATTTTCATTGAACACAAAGGTTTCAGTACATCAAATAGGTAATATTTACATATAAGGAATATCTTTAACTCATAACTTCTCTATCTTCTTCAGGAGCCAAGTTAACTTTCAAGCATGATTCGGTGCTGAATTACCAATCTACTTCAAATCTCTTACAAGGCCAGCCAAGTTGACCAATTTGTGAGCCATATCGTTTGCTTGAGTAATAGTCTCCTTTATTGCATTGTCTTTTTCATCAATCAATATTGTTTATTTTCCCTTGTAAGAGAGTCAATACGACTATGAAGTTCTTGTATAAGGTTCTTACAATCACGTACTAGCTCTATCAATGTCTTGTTATTGGCTCTAATGGCTTCGAGTTCAACATTTTTCTCACTGTTATGAATTTAAAATGAAGCTTCTGAGTTAACAACGAGGATTCTCAGTATCTTATTCTTTTATTGACAAATCATCAAATCGCTTAAGGTTGTGTTGAATTTGCATTTAGCAAGTTGCAAATCACGAAGGAAATTTTTAGCTCGATTTTCTTGCACATTACATTTATTTCTCCATTTTTCAATATCATTATTCAACTTAGAGACTCATTTTTCCCATTCCTTAAGGGTATCACCTAAACTAACATTTTAAAAGGCTTGATTGATTCTTTGAAAACCATCTTGCATGGCTCCCGTTTCTCTACTCATATTATCCCTTTTGTTTTACAATTGATGTATTTGATCTTCACATTTCATCAGACTCTCTTTATCTTGGGTGCCCCCACTGATGCTTTTATCGTCGAACACTGTCAGCTCTATCTCAACCAAGCCTTCAGTTATTGAATCAAATTAACATTCTATCTCAAACTCCAATACTCCATGTTCTAACGGACATTGAATTCGACGCTTAAAGGCAATGCAGTTCTCGATATAGTGTCCTTGAGCTCCTGCATGATATTCACAATTGGCATTAATATCATACCACTCTGGATATGGAAATACTAAGGCTCTACATACTACGGGGTCACTTCTTGAGCTTCTAAAAACGTGTTGTACAAGTCTCCATATGATATATAAACAAGAACAAAATAAAGACCACCACCTCCTAGCTTTTTTTCATCATATAGACGTGACTCAATTGAGTGAGGACATGTTTCTAAAACCACCTTCGAGAAATTAGATGCTATGATTAGGTTCAAATTATCCTTCATTTTTTGCATTTTTAGGTACTCTGATGACTACTGGACTTTTGGGAAACACAAACTTACCCTGCTTGAAATTTAACAATCCTGCCTAAATAAGATCACTGACTTTATTTTTCAATGCACTGTAATTTTATTTAGTGTGTCCTGAGCTTCCTATGTGATAGCTACATTTTTCATTAACATTATATCCCTTAGGATATGTGGGTTATTTCGGCTTGGACTGAATTAGAGTCACGAGATTTTTTTCTACTAGTATAGGCAACATATTCTCAAATACTAGCCAGTCCTGATCTCATGGTTCATCTTCATCTCTTTGAACTTTTATAGTTTTGACCACTTCCCTGGCATCTCCAGATAAATTGTTGATGCGAATAATGACGGTGAGTGATTATTCGAGCTTGCTAGAATCACCTCATTTTACATTATTCTCTTATGTATATGAAATTACAAGATTGTTCTCATCGAGCTCTTTCCCCTCTTGTGTAGAAACATCTTTTCCTTTGGCCAATGCATATTTTCTATCCATCAACATGGCTATTTGCTCTCTTATCTCTTGTATTTCTTGTTGCTCTTTGTCGGACATGCGATCTTTGCGCACATGGCTTTCTACTATTCTCGAAGCATCTTGACGGTGCCACCTCCTAGATATATGATGTTATACTAGTTCATGAAACCCTTTGTCTATTGTGAAAACCTTTTAAACGATAATCACTCATAATCGACACCTTTTATGTGTGTCATGATCATATGATGCAAGACAAAGAAAAACACAAGAGAAACAAGTTAAGATAAACATGTAAAAGAATAAATTAATACAAAATAAAAATGTAAAGGTAAGTACAAATGCAAAGATGCAAATGTGAATGCAGTGCAAAAGGTACTGATATGTTATGTTCATACAAAAATAAAGCACAACAAAAAACGTAACAAGACAAAAGGAAATCACATTACTAGAAATGATAATTAAAGGAATACGAGTCATAAAAGAATAATCAAATACAACTCATAAATGAGACTGCAAATAAAACATGCAAAGGAAATTAAAGTTCTAACCGCATGTGTTCTGGTTCTCTTAGGGTATCCACATGGCTCTAGAGAGGTAGGTTACTAAATTCTCTATATGAAGTTTGGTTTTAGAAAAGGGTTCCCAAACTGTCCTTACAACATGCTAAGATTAATAAAGAGTTCGATTCTGACCCATTACAGACTTGTGAATCAAATTTAGTTTAAGGGATCACACCACTAAATGTATATCACAGAAGACAATATCCAGACAAACATTTAGAATACTTTCTAGAGGTACTTTGCTAGACCTACATGAGGAAGACCAATGTTCCCTTGTGGTGTGGCGTTTTCCCTAATTAGGTGAAATGAGACAAACCTCGGGTATAGAGTTATGATACTCAGCAACTCTAAATATATTCAATCAAGTGAAAGCATTAACCACAGAGAAAATCTTTTTCAATTTTTTTTAAAAGACATAATGATTTGCAAATTAAATAAATTCGAACTCAAAATTTCCAAAAATAAAATATAAGGTAATTGACTCGTGGCTGAACTCTCAATTTTTGTTTTAGAAAATAAAAGTTCCCAACGGAGTCGCCAAGCTATCGCAATCGGCCCTTCTAGGGGAAATCCTGACTAGTTGCTACGATGGGGTTTTTGAAATGATTTTGAAAAGAAATGTTTGGAGTCGACACCAATCATTTTAAGGTGTGATTGAAAACACCTAAAATTAGGTAATTTTAATAAAATATTTTATTTTATAAAAAATACCAGTTTTGCCTACGAAAACTAGAAATCAGGTTCGGGAGTCAGTTACGCATGGGGAAGGGTTAACATCCCCACAACGACCAAAATTAGTACCTAGTCGATTACCCTATATTTGAAATCGAAAGTTTTGAGCTCGAGGTTTTATTTAATTTAAAAATCATTATGGATGCAAATTTGAAAAATGATACTCATTTATTGAGTCCAATAACATTCACCCTCAAGCATGTATGCGAAAGCTCAATTATTAACCCCAATAAACGAACATTGCTTCAGAGTTTAAGAAATCATGTCATGGGGTTTTGAAAAGGATGTCCACCTACTTCGAGAACTACTAACGGTCACATCCTGAGCATAATGCAGAGGATACACTATTAACTCCTTGGTATGCCTTTTACTTTAAACCAAATACAATTAAACAACTTTCTAAAGACCTAATTATGCTAGGTGGGTTAATTAAGGCTCTCTTAAATTAAAGTGTCAAATTATGAAAGTTAAAGAACTTAGAGGGCTAAACCTGATAGTGAAGGCTCTAATATTAATCCTAATTGATTTGAACCCATTATTGAATCGAATAATCGATTTGAACCATTGGGCATCTTAATGCGAAAGCAAAATCGAATTATTCCCTAAATTAAGGGACTAAAGTGAAACTAAACCTAAAGTGAAGGCTCTACTTAATAACCTATTTAATTATGTCAAATGAATATCTAATTAAGAGTTCAAGGGCTAAACAGTGAAGAATCTAAAGTTAAGGCTCTAACTATTAACCTTAATTAATTTTTCAAATTGTGGAATCGAATAATCAAATGAACCCCCGAGCATCTTAATGTGAGAGCTAAATTGAATTATTCCCTAAATTTAAAGACTAAAAGTGAGAATTCTAAATCTAAAATCTAAGTCTCTAATTATGAACTAAACTAAAAGAACCTAAACTAAAAGATTAACCCTAAAATCTAACAATTTCTAAAAACTTAAGGAGAATAGACAAACATGTATTTAAAATAGTAAAAACATAAAACTATACCAACTTAATTAAGGCTAATTAATCTAAATATTAAATTAAAAAATAGAATAGTTCTGGGACTAATTTAAACTAAATTAAGCAAATTCTAGCATAGTGGCTAAACTGAAATATATTTAAATTAAAAAAGCAAGATTGGAAGTATGACAATGACCTAAGTGCTAAAACGTGCCTAAAATAGAGTTTCTAAAGCATAATTATTCCACATTATTAAACCTAAACTACTTTAACATACAAAATTGGGTTTATTACAATATCAAGCTGCGAGAATTTAAAATAAAATCAAAACAGACTTTACAGTGACCAAAATATAAAAACGTACCAACTTTTAGGGGACCTATGAGAAAATTTCCATTTTTAAACAGGGAATTTAGGGATTAACATGTAAATAAGCTGTTGAAGTTCAAGGGCCTTATTGCCATTAACCCTAATGGTCATTTATAAAAACCTAATTGTAGGATTAACCCTAACGTAAACTCACATTAACCCCTTTCATCCGCCTTCTCTCTCAACTCAAAATCCTTCCCCTTCTTATCTCTCTTGTCCCAAACAAGGTTGCCGTCTCAAAAAACCCAATAACCCTAGCCTCCGCCGCTCCGACCACCATTTCAAACGATCTAGGAGGCCGAAACCTAACCCAAACAAAACTAAACACTTGATTCTATCTTCTAACCCTTTTATTTTGCTTCAACCGAAACCCCCTGGAACACAACGCCGTCGTAACTGACACTTCAACCTCAACTCCGACCACCACCAACGGTGGTCGGATCTAAACATAACCTAACCAACCGGACCTAAACAAAATCTAGCTTCATCTCCCTAATCTAAACCTTTAAAATCGATCCCCGAAATGAAACCAAAGGCCTTTAAAATGAGCCCGACTCTTAGGTTACCTCGTCTCCAGCGACGCTTTCTCTCTACTCCGGTGAAAAAGACTCAAACGAAAGGTAAAATCTGATTTCTCTCTCTTTTTTATTCCTTATTTTTGCTTCAAAAACCCTTTCTCTATTCTGTTTTGAATGAAAAATAGAAAAGAAAATACTTTTGAAAAAGGAGTAGAAGAGAAAATCCTTTTTAGAATTCTTTACTTCTTGTATTCGAATACTTAAACTAAAGAAAACTCTATTGCTGCTTTGCTTTTCGAAAACAGGGAAGAGATAGATCCCTTACATTGTGTTTCTCTGGGGTTTTTTTTATAGAACTCGTATTACAAATCGAATAAAAAATGAAAATTATAAATTTTTGTTTCTTCTTTGTTTGCATGTGATCTACTGAGGAAAGTTACTGCCCTCTGCACTCTTCCATAACCGTTTGGCAGGGGCCACAAGAAAGAGGGGACTACGAGTTGGAACATTCGCACGTGAGAGAAGGAAGAAGCTTGCCGGAGAAGTGGCTGGGAGCTTGGGACAACTTCGGCGCGTGGCAGCGACCCTAGGTCTCATGAATCTAGAGAGCCAATGCGTGGGAAGCACGCTCGGGTGCTTCTGGAACACCTGCTGGTCGCGGCTGATGGAGGAAGAGATTAGGGTTTTCCCAACTCACAAATGTGTTGGGCTAACTTGGTTCAGGCCTGTTGGCTTTGATTTACGTGGGCTATGAGATAAATGTGTTTTGGGTTAATGATAAGTGCAATTTGGGTAATGGGTAGGTTAAATGGGCTATTAAATGTGTAAATGGGTTTTGTGAATTTGGATCGATGGTAATGTTATGGTTTAATGGTGGATAATGGATTTATGGGTCTGAATGTAAACAATGGGTTGTAATGTTTATTTTAATGGTCTTTGTATTCTAGACATTTAATGCTTTTAAAGGCTTTGATATTTATTGTACAAAAAAAGAATTAATCTGGTTTCGATTTAGATCCTTATTTGCGAAGATGAATGTGTACGGTCATGATCCTTTCAAGCACCAAAATTCCTTAACGTTCTTACTAGATATGCACAGAAGCCGGATTTCAATCCGATTCGATTCTTTCCCATAGATAACAAATCGGTTTATAAAATAATCGGTTCGGATTTTAATCGGTTTGGAGGGTCGGATATCCTAACAAGTGTAATCGGTTTCGATTTGAAAAAAATCGGTTATAAAAAAATCGATTATAATATTATTAAAATTACATCGTCATCAATTGCAACAAAGTTTACGATAATTGAAATACTTAAATACTTCCAAGTTCGATAAATTCAAATACTTAAAAACTTCCAAGTTCGATAAATTCAAATATTTAAAAACTTCCAAGTTCGATAATTGAAACAAAGTTTACGATAATTGAAATAAAGTTTAAAAATAAACTACATTGCCATCTCTTCTTCATCATCTTCGCCTTCTTCGTTTGGAGGGGATATTCCAAGTTCGACTTCTTCAATGTGTAAGTTTGCTTCCAAATCGGCATCAATTGCATCTTCTAGGTGGTGATATGTTGCTTCCGAGCTGCTCCATCCAAATAATCCTTCAAACAAATGCATATTTTCACCGACTCGGGACTTAGTCTTGATCTCCATTACGATATAACCCTGCCACTAATAGAAAAAGCGGATTCCGAAGCTACCGTAGAAGCTTGGACGGTTAGTAAATCACAGGCCATGGCGGCTAGAATCGAAAATTATGCTTCCTTTTCTTTCTACCAAGCCAAAATATCCAAATTTTCAAACTCTTCAAATGTCATTTTTGATAGAAAATTGCATGACATGTAATTTCCCAACTCGCTACTTGGGGTGGTAGTACGTGATCGTTTGTATTGAGAATTTACAAGAGTGTTAAAAAGATTCAAATTTATGTTACTTGGACGTCTACTAGATGATTCCGCATTCGTTCTCATTTGATCGTGTATTACACTACTTGATCCGTATTTAGTTAAATAAATTGCAAACATGTCTCGAAAACATTTGCTAAAATAATTTATTTGGTTTTGGACAAAGTTGGGTTCATCATCGGTTAGATTAAAAGCAAACGCAATTTGTTCAATTAGTGTTTCAACCCCGCCAACATTTAACGTTGGGTTTAAAGCGGCGACACAAGTAAAAATGGGGGGAATCTTCTTAAAATATTTTAAAAGTTTTTCCTTCATTGCAAAGCTAATTTCTTGAAAAACTTCGGTTTCAAATTCAAAGTCATTTAGTCGGGTAGCCAAAAAAAATATTTGATTAAAAACCAACGGGCTAGTACGGTAATAAACACCGGATAAAAAAGTTGTTGCATTTTTAAAAACCCCAAGCAAATCGGTTATTTTGGCTATAGATTCCCAACTCGAATCCGGATAAATGTTTGGGACATGACCCCTCTCGAAAAGCCGGTCGTGAAATGTTTGCAATGTTTCCCTTTGCCTTAAGGCGGTATGCATCATCATCCAAGTTGAGTTCTAACGAGTTTGACAATCCAAATTAGGACCCAAAACTTTTTTATTAACCGACTTACAAAATCGTTTATAACCATTTAGTCTTTTGCTGTTGTTACAAATAACTGAGTTTATCATTGTTTTAAATTCTAATCTAATCGGCTCAATAACCTCCAAACCGGCTTGCACGGATAAATTAATTATGTGTGCAACGCAACGGGTATGAAAAAACGCACCGTCTAAAATCGGTGAAAATAATATTTTCAATCTTGGAACCGCGTTTGTATTATTCGATGCATTATCAAAGGATATATAAAAAACTTTATTTTCTAATTTATAAAGACAAATTAGCCTTTTTAAAAGTGTAAATAAATTAGCACCGGTATACGACTCACCGAATAATTCAAACTCGATTATTCTTTTCATCATTTGCCAATTATCTTGATCTAACCAATGTGCCGTAACGACTAAAAAAGAATTTCCGGTATTATGAGGGGAACTCCAAACGTCACATGTAAGCGACACATCATAACGGTGTTCTTGGAATCCTAAAATCATTTTTTCCCTCGCCGTACGTCACATTTTTATAGCATCTCTTCTAAGGGTAGTACGACTTACTTGAGTATAACGTGGTTGCATTAGTTGTTGAATTGTTGCCGTGAAATCATCATCATCAAAGTGGTCGAATGACAATGCTTTTGTAATCACGAACTTTGTAAACGCTTCTTGTAATTTTTCGTTGTCGTAAACAAAAACACCACCTTGCGGTGTAAGATTCGATTGACTTGGATCCGATCTTGAGCGAAGTGCCTTGCATGATTTTGTCAAATGGTTCTTCAACGTTGTGTTTCCTTCCGGTGCAAGCAACTGTTCAATCACTCTCACGACTTCAAGGTTTCCCCCGATGGAAGATTCAGCCGTGTTACTCATGATGAACAAAAAATTACAAAAATAAGATTTGAGAGATGTTTAGGTGTTGTGTAATAAGATTTGAGAAAGTTGTAATCAACCAAATACATCCCCAACCTATTTATACATGTTTAGGGTGGTAAAATGGTAATTTTTTAAAGAAAAAAACGGTCACAAAACTCCCCCAACGGCTATATTAACGGCTAGTTTTTTAAACCCATACCGGTTTTTTTTCCGGATAAGAACCGATTTTTTAACCGGTTTTTTTCAAACCGGTTTTTTATCTGATAAAAAAACCGATCTAGGTTTTTTTTCCAAACCGGTTAAAATATCCGGTTTAAAAAAATCTGATCCGATTAAAAAAACCCGGTTTTCCCCAAATCCGGTTTCAGATATTTTTTGCACAAAATCGGATATTCGGATTTTTTGTGCACCTCTAGTTCTTACTGATCAGCAACAAAACTCCACAAATAAAGCTGGGTATTTGGGCTAGGACCCGCGGGCTATCCGTTTAACCCATGATCCGTACGGGTTTCGGGCCTCAAAAATTGAAGATCGTTTAAATTGCGGGCTTTTTAGCCCGAACCGTTAAACCCGCGGGTTTAATGGGTATAATCGCGGGCTACCCGTTAAACTCGCTAAAGCCCGCTTAATTTAAAATTTATAAAATTTTAGAGAAAATAAACTTAAAGAATTTTATAGAAAAAGAAAATAAATTACCTATAAATATGATGTTACTTATAACTATTGTAGTTCTTAAATTTATTAGGGCGTTTATCATAATTTTACCGTTGCTTAATATTTTTTTCATTTAAATATACATCATTATCATTTTGGTATTTAAAGATTTTTTTATTTAATTTTGACTTTTATTTTTTTCATGAAGTATGTTATCCATTTTGTTCTTTAATTATAAAAAATCACGTGATATTCTAATAATATATCACATGACACGTAATATTTGGATTAAAAATAAAAAACAAAAGTAAAAGAAAAAATTGAAAACATACTTTTCAACTTTTAAAGACTTTTACAAAATAAATATATTTTAACAAATTAATGACTTACATTTGATCAATTTTAGTATAACTGTATCTTTCAAATTTACTCTTATACTGTAAGTATTTTATTTTATATTTTCATATTATGTTTTAGTATTTCTCTAAAGTATCCATAAAATACAATTATTAGGAACACTTGACAACTTTCTTGTTAGATTTGTATAATGTTTGACTTTGTTGAATTTTTATGTTTGAATTTCTGCTTTCAGACACTTATGTGTCTTCATATTATAGCCTTGAATAATCGTGTTTTATAAAAGTATAATGTGGTTATTGTTTTATTTGTTTTTCAATTTGGTGATATAAGTGAATATTATTTTTTTAATTTGAGTTTAAGTAATTATATCATTATATATATATATATTAATGATTAAAAAATTAAAAAAAATTATTTTATAATCATTTCAGGCTATTTAAAATAAAATTTAAATATTATTTATTATTTTGACGGTGTTACCTTCCTTTTCAAGTTGTTCGATCATTTTTAAAGGTGCAGTAAGTTAGAACATTATTTTTTATTGCATTTAAAGCATTTAAAATTATTTTTATTAAACGGTCCGCGGGTAAGCCCATTTAGCCCGCGGGTTAAATGGACGGGCCGCGGGCCTTAAAATTCAAAACCGTTTATGAATGCGGGTTTTTTAGCCCGCTCCGTTTAAGTCCGCACCGTCAAAACCCGCGGGCTAAATGGGCGGGTAGCCTGTATACCCACCTCTATCCACACCATTTTTTTCAGACCACAAGTGTCACTCGAACCAAATTTCGTTAGCCCCGATATTCATTTCCAAATATCCAGACAAAATTAGGGTATTGCAACGCTCAAGGTTGTAGAAGAAGTATGCATGTGTTAAAAACATTTTTTCGGATCGATCACCCTACACATTTTCCTGAAGAGAAATGTCAAAACCGTCGATTCCAACTAAATGTGCCTTATTCTCTAAATTTATGATGCAACCACGTTTTATTCACTTGGTTGTTGAATCTGTTGGGCGTCAAAATCTCCCCATGATCCTCAAAATACAAGTGCGCGTGAATGCTTGTGACTCCTAGTCAGAACAGTTTGTGTCAAACTCATTAAAGTTTCATTAGAGCCATGTCAATGTGATTCGACCACCATTAAACTTATCGTAAACCTTTCCAAGAAAATTGTAGCACAAAGCACCCCGATTAACATTCCTACCAAACACAACACGTCGATCAACTGAGAATCATAACTAAAGTGATAAAATGTATCTTTTTGATCTCCACCTCTCAGCGAGTGCAAAAATAAGTATTAGTTGTAGTTTACAACGTAGACCATCCGGAAAACATATTCAAATTTATCCTAAATATCTCATAATACAACTAGAGAAAATCTTTTTCATTGCGAATAAATACTTCAGGAATATAATCCGGGTAGAAATAAAATTTCATTAATCCTTAAAATTTTATAAATTCATCAATTTAATGAAAAAATTTAAAATGAATGTTATTAATTGATATGCAGCATTAGTTTAATAAG